TCTATCTCACCTTTGCGTGGGAGCAAACCGTGTGCATTCCCCAGCATAAACCGACGGGCACAATCACCTCATCTGCTTCGTGTTTGATCTTATCTCTTTCGGAAAAGACCATTCGGAAGGATCGGATCGTCTTGCCGATACCTCGGCAGCGCTGCTAGAGAGGCGTCGCTCTCTTAGGTTCTGCAAAAATCCCTCCAGCTGAACAAGCAGCGATGCAGCACTTAAAAATGAAATGTTTCCACTGCGACTTGGCGCAGAATGTCTTTGTCTCAGTGTACCTGTAGGAGTGAATCGTAACTGCTTTGCTGCAGACACTCTTTTGTGTTTTAGTTCACGCGTCTGACTGGAAATACTGGAATCTCCCTGTGTGTCACTCACTTAGACCTTGCAAAGGAATATATGACGACCACATGGCAGGGCACCGTGATAGCATGGGGTGACTACAGGCCAAGCAGGAGACTCGGCAGCAGCATCATCATCATCATCATCATCATCATCTCCCTGGTTTTCACCGTGCTCACTGCATCGGAGGCACTGGAGGGGTGTGAAGTGCTCCCGCGAGTGTGCGTGGTCCACTGCCGCCGCGCTCTGTGATTAAACGGCAGTACGTGCCGACAGCTGGAGTGGAAGAGCGTGACGCGCTGGGGCACAGCGGAGCGAGAAGCAGCCTCTCAGCGGTGCCGAGGAAATTACACGTTTGGTGTCCTGAGAGCCCCGATGCAGTTTCCGTGACATGTCAACACGCGGCGCGATGGAAACGTTTAATGTCGCCATTATCCCCCTCGATTCTGGGATGCAGTGTTTTGTCCGAAAAATCATCGCAATTTAGTTTCAGAACACAAGTAGATACCTTGCATTTAGTTAAAAAAAAAAACACAAATGTCTTATTGCATCACCGAGAAGCGCACACCTTCTATTTAATGAACAATAATTCCTGTATTTGTTTAACCAGCCTCTGTTTTATTTTCTCCACCATGATCGCAAACTGAGATTTTACTGTAACTCATCAAGGTAACTTATTGATTATCCCAATAAACGTTTCTGTTACTACCTGCAGATAATGTTATGGTCCCTCCCCAATGCCGGATCACCATTTGTTGCCAAACTTGAGCAGCAAACGTGTGTGTGTGTGTGTGTGTGTGTGTGTGTGGGGGGGGGGGGGTGTGTTGCGATGACATAAGCTGTCAGTACACCCCGACACAGACAGAGACACACCTGGCAAAGTAGTCCAAATGGCTACTGCGAAAGCTCCAGCTGAAGTAGGTGTCTTTCTCTCCGGTCACTGTGCCGGCTGGTAGTGAATCGCTCCACTAACAATAGCCTCAAATGTCCAAGTTGTAAGCTCGCATACTTTGTTTATCTTTCATCAGTTCGATAAATGCAACGCCCTCTTCTGCAGTATTCTCCCTTGTATGATTGACAACTCACACAAAAGCATTTGTTTGCACCTTTTCTCGACTGGAAAAACAAACTGTTGCTCTTGGCACATTTACATACAACCAAGAGGATCTTTGTGTCTGTTGTAGTTGCCATGCATTCTGCAGCATCAAGGTATTTGCTAAAGGTGCGCTAAACGTCCAATGTTGGTTGCACGTTCTGTTCTTTTAGATTTCCCCTTCAGCCCGTCAGCTCATCTGCCATGAGCCGTTCTTCAGGAGGAAGATCGTTAGTCTGACGCCGAAATAAGCCCAACCTTGTTTTGTATCATGCTTGTCATCGCTTGATCCTTCTGCAACTGACATCCTGGAAACGCAACATGCATTAGTGACTGACGTCAACCTCGGAAACCCGCGGCAAAGCAGCTAGAGACACAAACTCCCGACAGCCTGAGAAGTGGAGTCAACACGCTGAACTAATCACCGTATCTGAACGGCGCAGCAGGCCAGGCCGGTTAATTAGTAAAGAGTGTTAACTACTGTTACCGTTCTAAGTTAATGAAGCATTTGCTAACCTGTACGCTTTAGAGTTCCTGTACTCTGAGGTTTTTACGATGAGGCCCAAAATCCAGTGTGAATCAAGTTAAGTGAAGTATCCAGATGTGCACAGCTGCTCTGGTCACTGGCAGGTAAAACTAAGCCTCTAGCGCTGCACTCCTTTTGATATTTGATGAAAATAATACTCAACTTGTTATATAGCTTGTTGATGATGGAAACGCAGACATGTGACCCCCACCATTATAACCTGGACCTCGCTTATATTTACTATTGCTGTTGTTTCAAACCTTATTATTTATATTAACCGTAGTATCATATCTTTCCGGCCTCTCACCCATTGTATACCTTTCCATTGTACCAAACCTATAACTACTAATGAATGGCAGATTATCCTTAATAGAAAGGCAGGAAGTTGTGCTCCATTTCATTATCATGTGTGTGGTGGGTTTTAAATGTCCTGCTGAGACCCTTCACCCGGTGGCTGAAAAGGAAATGCTGCGATTAAAGGACCAGAAACCATTTAGTGAATGTTTCTAAATGTAATAAATCTTGATCTTATCTATGTCAAACTGGAAATGTTTTCTTGAAATATGGGCCTTTGAATAGAAACAAAACAATTTGTGGTGAAGGTGATTTAACAACTTTCCCGCTGTAGCCTGCAGGTCTTAGTTGAAAGTAAGCCAGCCAAGTAGTTTATACTTTTACTCCACTACGGTTCTTCTTTTATCTGAGAGCCGTTACTATTCTTTATTCTATATAATTGTTTACAGTAAAGCTGTGGATTAAGTTTTTATGGGGATATATTGTCAAGTGTTTAACTACCAAATGGTAATGTGAGGAGTTAATATGTCTCTGTGTCCACCGGATACATCCTCAAAAGTAGTGTTAGAAATAATAATTAGATGATGCAGAGCCTCACCAACGCCTAAAATAGTGCTTTTACTTTTCACTCCTTAGTCGTTTCATTACTAGAGCGTTGTAGTAATCCAGCTTTAAGTAAACTTACTAGTAAATGTTCAAAAGCACAAGCTATGTACCAATAAGTTATCTTAGTCTTCAGAGACTCGCACTTAGAATAGAGTGTTGTGTTTCTATTAGATGGCAGAAGCTCTCCTTTCCCCCGGACGCCACCCCCATCACCTGTTGGAGCACGTTTGGTCCCTTCCCAGGTTCTTTGTGTTTGCACAGGCTGATTGAGCGGCTTTGGTTTCATCGGGTAATCTGATTACCTGCTGAAAGATCTGATGCGCCTCGTCCTCACTGCAAGGCCACGAAACGATGCGTCCAAAGCCGTCCTGTTGGCTATTCAATACAGTGTCATCAAGCAACCGGAGTCAGGTCAACTGAGCCGTACGAGATGGAATGTTGTCTGACTCTCGCCGGCTGGTTGCTTGGTTCAGTAGTTCTTGGTTCTTCTGTCCACATATTTAGATGCAACAGCAAAAAAACAAAACCAAAGGACGCACTCTTTTTATAGAGAATATATTTAATTGAGCTAATTAGAAACAGTCCATATTACTCAGCAGCTGTGTACACACACAGCGGAATCTGCACGGCACCAGGAAATGGATTTAGTGAGAATTTTGAAGTAAAAAAATAAAAAAACAACCTTGATTTGAGTTGGAAGGCTTCCGTGCCAAAGCAGTGGCTTTTTCAACACAGATGCACATAGTTAGCGCGTGTGTGTGTGTGTGTGTGTGTGTGTGTGTGTGTGTGTGTGTGTGTGTGTGTGTGTGTGTGTGTGTGTGTGTGTGTGTGTGTGTGTGTGAGAGAGAGAGAGAAACCTCAGGGGCCCGAACTGATCAACCCTGCTGCATTGGGGTTTTTTCGGCCTTCACAAATGCCGAAAAATTATAGTAATTCGACGGGAATGTAGGAACAACGTCTCAGTGGGTCGCATTCAGGCGCATTCAGACCCATGTTCTTGCAAAAATGGCCCAATGATCAAAACTGGTGGTTGGCATTCAAGTCGGGCAGAGGGACAATCAGCATGATGATGGGGTCTGTTAGAAGGCCGGCAAACACTGGTTGTTGGTAGCAAAAGCGTTGAGACTGCCAACACTAAAACTGTAGATAGTACTTGTAAAAGAAAAAGAATCTCCCAAAGATGCATTTATTGGCCGTCAGTCAACTTTCCTATCATAAGTAGATCCGTCACACTTGACATAAAACGTCATGCTTTCTGATCCAGGATGGCTTTGAGAGATGAGAACTGTTCAGATGTACGAGTTCATATTGGGTCACTGGTAGTTTTCACCGGCAGCAACACTGTAATGTTCAGCACTGTAACAGTACGCAGGACAAAGACTTTTAAGGAGGACATTCCACGACTAATAAGCCCCGTAGGAATGCAACTAATTATTGTCATGAAATATGTTGTTCATTGTAGTAAAACATTGTCATATGACTTGTTATTTCCACTCAACAGTTCAAAATCCTCGAATAGATTGATATAAGCCAGAGATTTGCACAATAACCCGCAAATGTTAGAAGCTGGAATTAGAAACTATATTTTTGCTTGAGACGTGACTTAACTTTAAATAATGCTTCACGTCCAAGCGAGTAACTAATGTCTCTTCTCCCATTTAGTGTCACTTTCATCTGGCTTTCTGAAAAGAGTTTAACATGTTCCTGGGGTTTCCCTTTGATTTTCTAAGACAAACCGCATCCACTGCAGCGATTACACATGTAAACCTCGTGAGTGAACAATGATTACCTTGTGAGCGCAGAAAAACTACAGCTCCCACGGTAATTTACCACTGCTGGTACCTACGTATGATCACCTTGTATGTATGAATCCAAAAAAAAAATAAGAATATTAATATCTGCTAAAATGTTCTGTTGGAATGATAGTTCCAGAGTTAGATAATTGTTTATTATTAAAATAGTTAAGTTATATAAAGGTTTTAAAAGAGCGTTTCTTCCATCTGAACCCAAAGTTCTGGTTTAATGAACAAATTGCATCACAAATTGCATCCGACAATGAAACGTGAACATAACAACCAGCATTCACCTCAATGCTCATGGTTATTAAAGTGACGTAACCTGAATGTTTCTGTCCCTCAGGTCTGGTAGAGATCTGCTTGATGCATCCCCTCGATGTAGTGAAGACGAGGTAAGTCACCCATTCATAACTTTACAACTCATAGACAAACACCAATATTTTGTGTAACTTTAATGAACGCATAATTGTCATACACGAATCCACATTAATCCACATCTGCGTCGAATCCTCTCGGTGGCTATTTGGGTCTGTGTGTAGTGAAGTTCCTGGAATTCCAGTGCTTTTTCTTTTCTTTCCTTTTTTTTTTGCAGCTGGCCAAGTCTGCGCTCATTCTGCTCACAAGTGGCCAGCGATGCCAAAAGCCGTAGACATTTTGTGGAAAATGAAACGCATCATTGACCTTTTCATTCCCTCCAAAAAAATAGTTTTTATCTCCGCAAATCAAATTTTTAACCTTATTACTTCCTTATAAGAAAGGGACTCGCGATCGACTGCCGCTCAATGAACTCACTGTGGTTAATACCTGATACCTGGTGCTGCGTCAGCATGTCTTTTCTTGCGTGTCGTGCGAGTGGTGGCGGCCGCGTCGAGCCGTTGAGTGATCAGGAGCCTGCACGCCGCAGTGTCTCAGCCGGCCATAAACAGGTCGTGGGCTACTACTAAAGCTTTATAGTCTTTCACAGGCCCAGCCGAGACCTCTGGCTTCGCTTTTACCACCTCCCTGCCCCGCTCACCACTCCTCAGTAAATTGTGCCTCTTTTTCTGTCATTTACGGCAGCAGTTTCTTGGTAAATAAATTGCTCTGTGTGCCTTTTAAAAAAAAAAGAAAGAAAGAAAGTGAGATGGTTGCACTTTGAAGGCCGTGCCACCACCTGAACACGGAGAGAGCGAAGCGCCGGGATAAAAGCCAGGGGCGAGCGGTGGCGTATTAGTCGATACTCGATACTTTGAAGGCACACGGTGTGATTTATTGTCCCGCGTAGGAACCATGGGGGTTTATTACAGGTACGGCCGGCGCTCTGCCTGTCCGTCCTCACACGGGGTCAGGGTTAAAAGTGCACCCGCTATTTTCTTTGTAACGCTCTTCCTTAAAAAGCGGTAAAAGGCGCTTTAAAATCTGACAGGTTTATCTGTTTATTTTCTGTTTTTGTCGCCATGTGTTCCGTTTGATAGGCTTTCTGCTGCTGAGAGACGCATCTGTGTAAATGGATTCCCTTTGCTCGTGATCGGGGTTTGTTTGTTTTTTAACAAAGCGAACAAACAGAATGGTCTTTCTTCTTTTTAATTTGGAGCTTTTGATGACGTCATAAAAGCGTCTAAACGGCAGGAGGTTGCCGCTTCTTTTGATGGCAGACGAGTATACATGCAATCGTACTGAACACGCGTGTTCCGCGCTTTAACACACATCGATTCATAAACCAAGCATACATACCAGCTAATTAGGACACTGAGGGAGCGGAAATCTATTAGCAGGAACCTTGGAGCCAAGAGTCAGACACAGACACACCTTCACTTGGTCTCTCTCTCTCGCTCGCTCGCTCGCTCGCTCAGGCATGGCTCTTATTAGGCACCGGCTCCTGCTTTAATGTCCACCGGTCCAAATTGAACAGCAACTGGAGTAAATTTACTTTTTTCCACCAACTCGGAATCAAAGGGATTTTTTCCTCCTTTCTTTTTTCCCCTTTTACATTGTTTTTTTTTGTTTTTTTCTTTGCGCGGTAAACTTTACTAAACACGCACCTGGCTGGGAGCTGATGTTTAGCTCTTATTCAATAAAGGGGTTTATCTTTCTCCTATTCCCTTTGAGGGAGATGGAGTGGATACTGCTAAATGTGTGTGTTCCACAGATCTGAATAGGTTACCTAAATAACACGCAAGCAAGTTCATAATGACAAAACGATCAGCTCAGGATATTTATTAAAATACAGATATTTGTGGGGGATAATGAATGAATACATTTCACTGGACATTTTAGCCTTTGTTGTAGCACTTTTACTCCCCGTTGCGGGCTCGCTGACCAGTTGAGCCATGACCCCTGTAACTCACCTTTGCTAACAAGTACATCTATCTTACATCTGAGGGACTCCTGCAGAGCCCACGTTCCATCAGTGTGACTGAGTACCGCTTTCATCGTTGCGAAAGACTGGAACACGAAACAAATTTATGTTTCCCAACTCAGGGCTGCACCAAGCAGGCAGGTAGAGGCTCCGTGTTCCCATCAGGTGTAATGTGAAGCGCTCTTCTCTCTTTTTGTATTACAGATGACTGAAGTAGTAGGATTACAAAATAGTGTCAAAAAGTGTTTTCATTGTAAATCAATTGCATCAAATTTTGTCTGAAATTAATGAAGCAAAAAAAGAATATATATATATAGATTCCATAGACAATGATATAAAGACATTTGATTTTTCAGCATTTATTCATTGAGAACGCACACGCAGCGAGATTCTGTATCAGTAAAATCAGGTTAGATCGAAGCCAAACGGACCAAATGTTTAGGGAGGTTTTAGCGCTCTGTGCCATGATTCGATCTGATGAACTCTTTACTTTTTAGTATTTGTATCACATGCAAGGTCACATCTGAAACACTTTTCTTGTTCTTTAATTTGTCATTGTGTGTCAATCTGGGTAATAATCTGCTCTCTATGTAAATGTAGCATTCCTCAGAAAAGTAAACCGTTAATTGCCCCCCCCCCCCCCCCCCTCCCAGCCCCTGTCTGCGTGGGTTTGGGGCAGGAATGCGGGGTAGGATAGAGAGAGAGAGAGAGAGAGAGCGCGGAGTTACAGCTTTTCATTAACCTGGAAACCACCTAGTTACATGGTTCATGGGCTGGTCTCAGCTCACTTGGAGGTAACAAAGGGTGTCGGGCGGCACTTTCTGCAGGGGGCTGCGCGCTCGGGGCACCCCATCTGACTCTGATCAGGTTCTCCCTCTCATTAGAGAGTTGCACTGAGCCTGCATTTCCCTTCATGTCGAGATCCTATTACACGCAGCTCCACCCTTCTACACATTCATGTGCAAACAAACTCGCGCTCATCTCGCTCCCCATCACCCGTTTTACTTCCGGCCCGAGGAGTGAAACCTTCCCCCGTGGGGGCGCGTCTCTCTGAGCGACTTCTCCTGGCATTTTGTGGAACTTCGATTGCGGTTTCTTTTGCGGTGCACTTGATCCGATGCGTTTTCATATTCATTTTGTGCAACTCTTGACTTATCCCCTCCCTCTCCCTGTGCACACGCACTTTCTTTCCCTCTAATGCTTTTCCCATTCTGATCCTTTTTCTCGTCTCCCTCCGTTATCCAGTCTGTGCATAGCTTCATTCACCTGTGGACGGATTAGCCTTTACTTCAGCTGACATAAACTGCAACAACATCATGTTCCGTCTGCCGTCATTCCCTTTGAATTTGTGGTTTGTTATTATGTTATGTTGTTTTAAATCCCTGTTCTTTTAGAAGATGTGTATTGAATTATGCAATCGTATTGTATGACATGGCTGTCAAGAGTCCTTGCAAACCACTAAGCCTGCCAGTAGCCGGTTCCAAGCCTGATTAGAAAAACCTGGTACAGGGCCTTGGTCACTGCGGTATCCATGGCAACACTACCTCCATTTGGTCCCAGCATGCATGAAAGTGTGTCCCACTTGGGGGGCTTGAAAGTGATCTTTTGATGAGGGCTTTGACAGATGACGTCCAGTCATTTTGGGGGAAAGGCGTGACAGCGCTGAGGACGGCCCAAAGGCTTCACCCCTTCTCTCCACCTCCCACCTCCGTTTGCCCCCCAACTGCTCGGTGAACCCCAGTGCACTTATGGAGGAATCCCTAACAAAACCCTCAAACAGCAGGCCACAAAGCGGCGGCAGCCTGATAGCGGATCTTGCCTTGTAAAGGAGCAGGCCGCAGGTCAGCGGTTGTCAGGCAGGCTCATAATCCCTGCGGCTCGGAGAGACTGCAGGCTTGGCTCACGGTGCAGAGCCCAAAACACCACAACGTGCATCTAGGATGAAACGGGCTCAGTCCGTGCAGCGCTTCATTGCACGAGCATTAGCCAGGGCGAGTCCAGTGCACAAGGTGGAGAGCAAGTCCTTTCATGACCAGGGCGTTTTTTGCAGGATTAAAAAGGATGCCACGGCATTCCAGCATACTCTCTGAGTTACATTTAATGCCAAAGCGGGAAGCGGTGGGGACTCTGCAGAAAGTAAGACACAAAGTGAGAGTTGGTCGATTGGGGGATTGGATGGACCTGTGGCATGTTCATATCCCATCATAGAAAATGAATGCTTGCGATTTTGTTCACTGTAATCTAGGGTTTCAGCTCCACGTGCCCTGGACATTTGAAAAACGTACAGTCAAATGCTGTCTGTTGAGTTTAAAAACAAGTAATTAATTCAAATAAAGACTGACCTAATCAAGTAATAACACTCGTCATACTGACAGAAGCTCAAACGCACACTGACCAACCAGAGCGAGGTATCGGCCGGCACGGACCAGCTAACGGGCTCTGATGCCCATGGTGTGACTGCTACGTCATTACTATTCACCTTTCTACAGTCAACTATCTAATAAAAGCAAAATTCCAGAAAAATAAACTTTTAAAACTCAACCTTTTCATTTGAATGTTGTGACAGATGTTTCTGCAGTCACAACTGGATGACTAAATGACAGATTTCCCCAATGGATTGAGGCGCACATAAAGAGCAGATGTGCATTTTAATGTTTGTGTGTGAGTTTCCTACTAGCGCACCTGTAATCATTATCAGTGAAGGGCTTCACCATCCAGTGTACTAATTACAGAGTGGAGGCGTTGTGTGCTTTGACTTCTCTAGACCCTGACTGTGCTGCTCCTCTGCCGCCCCATCGCTTTCTTTATTTTTGACTTTCAAAACTCTATATCCTTTATCCAGCGTTCATCGCCTGTTTGCCCATCTCTTGCGTGCAGCTTTTTGGACTTCATAAAGGCTTTTTAATTCTAGGCAAAGCATTTTTGTCACTGGGGCTTTGCTACTTGAACATAATGTGACCAAGCTGCATTGGATGCAGGACTCAATTGGCACAGCTCTGTGCTCAGTGTAACACCTCTAATGATTTATCATAGATGCAAACTGTTGCATAGATT